TTCAGTGTCTCATACTGATATCCCAAATTCCAAACCCAAACTATAGTAAAGTGAAAATATAGCAGTGAATACCTGGCTCTGGGCTTTACATGCGTGGGAACTGAGAACAAGCCACTGGCACTGTGAGCTGTGTGTTCCGAAGTGTTATCAAATGAGGCTTTAATGCCAAACAAATTACGTCCACACCTTGAGACAAAACACAATGAGTATGTGTCCAAACCTATGGAGTTTTTTTTAAACAGACTTAGAGAATACCAGAGGAGGATAAAAATTCTTGAATCAGCTTGTGTTGGAAGCGAAAATACTATAATCAATTAGGCTACTGCTGAGGTACTGTATAGCGCTAGCCCATTTCAAAACAGTGAGGATGGTCTGGTCCTTGTATGGGCTGCGGAAGTATTTATGGTCAGTCATGTGGGCCGCAAGCTGTAATAGATTGGGGACGTCAGCTATACACATTAAAGAATTCCATGGAGTAGTATCCACAGATAATCATACTGTACATTAACTACAGTGTTAGCATCATTCTTGCAGACTGCCTTTATCTAGATGCCATTATTTACAACACTATTATGCAACCAATCATTAAAATAATTCATTTTAATTAAAATGTTCTGAACGGCGCATATTGAATACACCTCAATAGAAAATTGCAATATTAACAATTTAAATATATTGATCTAAATATGGTGCAGACCTATCAGCTACAATGCATCTTAAAATTAAAATCTAAAATATAAAATCTGCTACTACAGATGCAGTGTCAAAGAATGCCGACATGGTGTGATTAATTAATTTTTCATTTAGTGGCCAGGATTGTGTTGTGAAACGAAGAAACAGGCCGGGAGAGGCCTACTAAAGGAAAAGAAAGTGTGGAAACATAGTGCACACTGCCGAAGAATTCCCATTACAGCCTGGCCATCATAGAAAATTGAGAGATTGGCCATTGTGGAATACTTTTTTGGTTGTTCCGAGATCCTTTAAAATTGCTTGGTGGCATAGTCTATTGCCAAAACAAAAATAATTATCTTTTATTTGGGTCACCTGCCCTTGACAATAGTATTTCATTTGGAGTTGTAGTAGCAATATGGTAATAGCATCCTTGTCGTTAGTATTGTGTGTGTATACAGTAGTATGATTAACACACGAGAGCACAAATGGGATGATAAACATTTAACACTGTCCTGATTTGTCTGACAACTACATACAACTATAGTACTTTCAGGATTTACTGTGTAACCTGGCAGATTTAGAGAGTAGTGTAGTACTGCATCAGATTATTCAAAAAATAAAAAAGCTATGATGCATAGCTATCGGGATACTGCATTGTCTACACCTGTATATTGAATGACACTTCACACATTCTAGAGGGCTACATCTGTAAATATGGTCTTTGGTCCAGATGTTTCATGCTTTTCCTACTTTTTTAGTACTTTGGCCCTGACTGATTCCTTGCTTTTCTTATTGTCCTTACACTACTTAACTTATTTTAACCCATTAAATTTCTCTCTGAGGCTAAAGATTCACCTTGACTTTTAGATTGTAACTCTTCTGGTTTCTTATCCAGGTTCATCACATTACCTGCCCTTTTTGCACAACTAATTTAACACTTAGAAATCATGGATGTAATTAAATTATTACAGAACAAATGGTAATGATTAGCAAAATATAAACACATGTTATTTAAAAGACCATGGAAATTACATGTGCATGTTAATGTGAAAAACATCTAGCTGGGTAGAGAGGCCAAAGACAACTTCACAGAAATGATGGTAGAGAAACAGTGCACAAGTTTAAACATTCAGAACCATGAAAGATGCAAGGGTTTTACTAAGGTAGGGAGACTCAATATACAGTAGAAACTATGTATGAGCAAACCCTCCAGCTGGCAAGGGAAACCTGTATCGCTTCTGAAGTCTTATGTGATGATTAATCACAGTTGAACTCATCTGACTATTAAAACCGATATTACCTTGATGACCACCATATTTGAGTTATTGTCCCAAAAGAGAACTGGAATTTAAATATCTATTTTATGTTTTATAATTAACCATTTATGCAAAAGCAGTGTTCATGCTTCACACACATCCACATACTGTTAAGGAATTACACTCACCATTCTTTTTATAAAACATGATTTCCCCCTTGAATTCCTTCTTTTCCTCTAAGGTCTTGTCAATGTGAAGAATTATCTGTTCATTTGTCTCTGTGCCATACAGAAACTTACAGCTACAGCACTTTTGCATGACTTCTGTTCGCGCAAATCCAGTTAGTTCACAGAAGCCATCAGAGCAGTAAACGATTGGGAATCCTTTAGACACCTGTGCATTCGCGAGAATGAAGTTACTGTCTGAAAAGGAACAAGGACAGAAAATTAATATATCACAATGATCATATTAACTGCACTAAGAGAGCCATTGTGAAAAAAATGGTAAAATCAGATAACTTAATTCTTCAAAAAAACATTCTCTACAGAATTGTAAATTATTTGAAACTATATGGTCTCCAAGGAAAATGATGTAACAAATAAAAAAAACAATAAATACAAAAAATTGTTCCATCAATTAAAAAACAAAATTTGCAAACAGAGTAGTGTATTGCTTTACTGCATGCTTTACCAAAGTCACTTATTATTAATGTTAAATTAATCATGCTGTTATGATTGTCTAAACTACAGGTTATATAATTGTCAATTGTAAAGCACTGTATTCCAGAATTCAGTATTCTTTTTAGATTGTGCAAAACTGGACAATGACTATAATAACATAATTCTTTATGCATCTGTATGATCCTATTTCTGTCTAATAACTTTTGTTCAGGAGATAACCATTAAGTCAATTAAGAAACATATTGATTATGATAGAGCTTACTTTGGCCCATATTAACCCTCGGAATAAATAACTATCTGAAAGCATTGCTCTAATTGTACTGTACATATTATTGGAATAATATACTGTAACACAAACATGTACCTGAGTTGTTTTATTTTATTCAGTTTGACTGACATCTTTTGTATATTCTGTTATGTTTGCACTAAAAATATTAAAATACGAATTACTTAACAAGATGGAAAGTCTAAACAAGAAACAATGAGAAAGAACATTCAGGATTTAAGTTATAACTTTAACATGAGTGTTTGATATTTAGTAACTGGTTTTATCATTACACTGAAGTTTTAACTGCCCCTGCATTTACAATTATTAACCCATCCTTTTTGGCAACATTTGTTTAAGAAAGTAAAAAAAATATATATCTTTATCTTATCTGATGCATGCATAGTAATATGAAAGAACTCTAACAAGGTGAAGGAAAATTTAAATAACACAGTTTGTGGATTTTTGCAATGAAAGGAAAGGTGAAATTGACAAACTTCTCATTAAAAATTAAATGTCTTCCACATAATTAATGCTTTCTAATTGCTCACACTTGTGGTATTTCTCAATTATTTACAATGCAAATGCAATGAATTACTGTATTAACAGCGAATAACACTTCAAACTACACTACACTACACCATCTCTGCAGTTGTGACATTATCAATCATCTCCCGGCCAATCAGCAACCAGACCTAAAGTTAAAATACCTGAAGAAGTTTTGACTCCATTAGTCACTCCATATTTTTTACTCCATATCAGTTCAACTTTTGAATTTTTTTTTAATTTTGTTGTTGCGCTTCCTAAGTCCCTCACCAGAAACCCACCTGCATCCAAACCCATCCTGAATGTTACACCCTTTTACCCCTAGACACCTGGGGTTGTAAAATTATTTAATGGTATTGAAAGATCATCTTCACCCCATTCTGCAACATTTTTTTCCTGCAGCGAGGGGTGTCTTCCAGGATGACAATGATTCCCTCAACAGAGCACATGTAGTCGCCTAATGACTGTATTAGCATGATACTAACGTTATCTGTATGTGAATCAGGCATGAGCTGATAATTTTTAATGTGGAAGAATGATGTCGCATTTTGCAGAATTCAAGATGGTGGTAGATTCTATGTATGGTGCATCCAGTGACTTTACATTGGTGTTTCCATTAGATTGTCTGTTACCTGTAGTTTCAACTTCTGTCCTTTGATTTCTATTTCACTATTACTCTGCAGAAGTCTGCTAAATTGACATTGTCAAAGCATCTGGGGATTTTGAATTTCCCATAGCAGTCCTTTCTGTTCAAGACAAAAATGGTTCAGCCCCTTCATCCTGTCGAAATACAGGTAGGACATTAAGCCTTGAAATGTATCTGGTTGCTCTTCTTTGGACTGATTCCAGAGCCACATTATCTTTTCTATTATGTGTGATCAAAACTGTGCACAGTATTCTAAATGAGGTCTTACCAGTGTGTTATACAATTTTTGCGTAACATTTTATAATACTGAAAAAAACAAAGGGTTTTTTCAGCAAACAATAGAGCCTTTAAGTATGTTTTTTATATATACTGTATATATCTGTGTTTTAAATGTGCAATTAATGTATCTTTTTTCTAAATAATAAAAAAGTGAAAATGCTAAGGTGCAGGATTAGATCAACTGGATTAAGTTGCCTCCGAAGTTTCTGAGTATACAGTGAACGTGTTTTACTCCTGCTTAAATTAGTGTAGTTCCCAAAGAATGACTCATTATTCCCAGATACAAATTTATGATTTTTAAACAGTTCAAAATGGTAAAAGAACAATATTGCATATGTCACCTTTGAAGCCCAAAGTCACACATACAGTTTACGGCTATAATAAAGCATTTCAGATATATCTCAAATACAGTTTAAGTAATACACAATGTTGCTGTTGCTCGGGTTTCACATCCTAAACCTGTTTGCAATAAGGCCATAAATCGCAACATCTTGTACAGAGACTTCCATTTATATATATTTTTATAACCTAGGAAGCCTGTAAAGGGAGTATTTATTGGACTCTTTGCTTATTCAACTTCAGCCTTTCATCTTTTGTGTACTCTCATTTTGTTGTTGATGTCTATGTGAAGCTAATCACAGAAAACGTGTACCTATTTCTCTTCAAACATCACCTATTGTAATAGTTCTGAAACTTCAGAACTTACACAAACATTCCTATAGACAGGTAAGGTGGGTTTTTGCCATCTCTAAGCCACATTGGTTCTGACCTATAGTAATATATATATAGATAGTCACTGCACTGAAATAGGCATTTCACATAGCACTATGTTACTTTTGAGCTTGAGCCATCATTAATCATCTGTGTGAAAAGGACTTCAGTGTTCTTCTTTGCTTTATCTTTATTCACAATAAAAAATGAATTTGCCTTCTTGAAGAAAAATCAAATTTCCTCCTCTTGACAGTAAAATAGGTTTAAATAATCGGTCTGGGTATATTTTAATTACAAGATTAATTAAGATAAACTATTTTGTGTTCATGTATGCCCACTTTGCTGCATATTATTCAATTTATTTATATTATTGGACCAATAATAGTGGAAAAATAATCTCAATCTTGATACCAAATTCTACTACCACGACTGTATTTCATTAAGATATATTACATCTTTGTTTCAAAGAATCAAGTGTTAAATTGCAAGATATTGATTCTGAAGTCACAGCTGCTGATATTTTGTTGTTATACTGTAACTATACTGAGTTGTTTAAATTACTGACAGTTTCATAAAGGAGATATAAACAATTTTGATGTTTCTTCCCACAAATACAGTGCAAACTCAATTACCGTATATGCTGAGCATAATGCATGCAATGTTAAATAGCTTCATTTGTCAGAGCTAGAAGCTTTCATGCCTTCCTCTCAATGTCATTATATTTAAGTTTCACTGCGTGAAGCCTCACATCCTTCTGGCACCTTTTGTCATTATTCTCTATCACTGGAGCTCCTGCTCATTTTCTCAGTGCCCATGCCTTCTTCTGTTTTTTTATTCGCTTCTATACCTGTACATAGTATATGCTACTCTTTTAGGCTGCTTTCTCATTCACCTTTCTAGCTTTTGCCATTCTGCTGGCCTCCTTCTTGCTCTGGGCGTTTTCTCCATTCTGCTATCATATCACATCTTACTGTACTGAGTACCAACAGGGAATCATTCTCTCTTGGGATTTCTCTTCCCAATTTATTTCTGGAGCCATTCTCCACCTTCTCTGTTCACCCCTTCTGCCTTTGTCTATTCTTCCTCCTCATAAACCACTATCACTTCTTACATATCTTGACTGTTTTTGCTAGCCTTCCCCTTCCTTAACACACTGCCTCTTTATTTAATCTCTTAACCTAACTTTAGTTCTGTTTTCTTTCCTTAAGTATTGACTATTTATTGACTACAATATTGCGTATTAGACTTTGTCTCTTATTTATCCATTGCTGTCCAAAATGTAATGTGTTCTTTGCATTTAAGATACAGTACATTAACAACATACTAGAGTTTGTACAGAAATGTATCTGAGTATGTAATGAAGTTAGATTAAAAGATAAAAGAATGATAATTTAATGGGAGAAAACAAATTATATATTCAGGTGGGGACACACAAGATAAAGATGTAGAGATCGTTATGGGCAAAACTGTGAAGAGCTCAGTAGACGTGGCATCTAGTTTAGGTCAGAATACTTGCAGTCAAAATCTCATGTTGATTTACAGTACCAAGTATGTAATCACTCCAAGTGAATGCACCAACTAACGATACTTAATGAAAATGACAAAGAAAGGCGCCTCCATCTAAGAAGAAGTAAACAATATCATTAGAGAAATACCAAACTGCAATCTTGGTCATTTGGGAGAATTAGTCAGTGGTAGAAAATGTTGGACTTTAATTAATATTAATAAGAAACACAGGCTCAGATCTTTATATGTAGAAAGAATACAAGCTGCTAGGTTTGGATATCATTCATCCTGAAATGTTCAATTATGATGGTAAAAACAAAACACGCTCAACTTTTTGCTCAAAGAGATTTGGGCAAAGAATAACTGAAGAGTGGACTCTTGAGGCCATTCAATTGCCAGAGAAAGGTGATTTAAGTAACTGCTGAAGCTGGAGGTGCGTAAGTTATGGGCAAAGTGTTATAACTGTTCTTTTACACTGAATGAGATGTGAACAGTATGCTTTGTGAACACTCTTCAGACAAGTCAGATTGTGCTCAGATATGATGATCCCATTGGGCAAATTATTAAGAACACAATCCAATTTCAAGGAAGCTTGGCAATATACTGAAGGAATGTTATAAATTTTATAAAAACTAACA